TGTCTCGTCACGTAGCAGTGACCTTGGTGAGGGGGTGTCTCGCCTGCTTCTGCAGCGTGCGGGTCACTCGCCAAGATTATTTGGGTATCTCACCGGATCGTTTCTCTGCCGTTGCAGGGCCCTGGGACATTCATGCCCCTCAGTCCCTCCTATTCTTCCCCCGTGCACAGAACACCCTAGTCTGCTGTGGGCTGTAATGCTTTGGTATCATTTGGCTGCTGGGTGAGCAAAGTGGTGTTGGGGGTCTTTGATATGCAGAAGGTCAAACTAGATGCTCTGATGTCCCTTCTGTCCTTACACGCGGTGCCTATAGAGCAGTGCTCACCAGTCAGGAGATCAGGATCTACTGGGAGATCTTGGAGCCTCTGACGGGATCCTGACTGGTTTGGCCAAGAGGCTATCGAGTGCTGGCACTTGAGCTGCCCCTCCAGCTTGCCGGGCTGGGCAGGGAGAGGAGGGGGCGTTGATGTCGGGATGCCCCCTCTTCCACTCTGTATCCTATTTCCACAGAATGGAGGGAGGGCAAAACAGGGCTTGGGACGGAGGGTGTTTGCTGGCTGCTTTTGAGAGTGGGGCAGGGCCGAGCCTGCCTGAGTCCCACTGCACCTCCACCCAGGAGCTGCCTAAAGTAAGCAGTGTCCAGCTAGAGCAAGCATCCCAAAGTCCTGCCTCAGTCATGACCCCCCCCCCCACCACCACCTCCAACCCCAGTCCTAGCCCTGAGTCCTCTGGAACCAAACTCCCCTACAGAGCCTGTACCCTGAACCCCAACCCCTGCCTTAGGCTCAGCTCAAAGCTCCTCTCACGCTCCCCATCCCTTAGCCCAAGACTGGCACCTGTGTCCAAACCTCTGCTCCTGCCTCGTGAAAGGGACGGAGAATAGCGTGAGCAGGGTCAGGGCAGGGCCCACAAAGGCGGGGGGGGGGGCAGGGTATTTGGATCTGAGGATCCTGGATTGCACTTAAAATCAAAAAGTGATCTTGAGCTTAAAAAGGTTGGAGCCCCCTGCTCTGCAGCGAAGGGCTCCTCTCAAAGCAGCCTGAAAGTAAGCACTCCTAAGCGCCCAGGAAGCCAGGGGAAGATGCGTCCAGTACCAAAAGGCCAAGCACAACTTATTCCTTAGCGTACGGCAGACAGGAGGCTGGGGCCCGCTGGGAGAGGCATTTGTTGAGGGCTGAAAAGCACAGGCTAGAGAGCGCGAGCACAAGCCTTGCTGTGCTGTTCAAAACTCTGGGAGTGTTGGTGAGCACAAGGCGGCTGGCAAAGCGAAGGTTCTTCCTGGCTGTTGCTGTTGGGAGATGGGGACTGTCTGTGACAGAAAACACATGGTGGGGGTGTCGCCACCGAGGATTTGTGAGCGCTGGTTTGACTCTGAGTTGGAACGTTCTGGGAGGAGTCCGTGGCAGGCGGCAGGGTAGGAATGTCGGGGGAGGTACGCTGAAGGTGAGCTTTCAGGTAGTTGTGTTCAAGTGGTGAAAGTTCAGTTGTTGCTGTTCTGAAGAGTCCCACAAGGTCGGGTGTGTTGTGCTGTGACAGGAAGAGACAGGATTCCTAGAATGGCTGAGAAGGAAGCCCTGTACAAAGGCACTGTCTTCTCTGTGTGTTCCTTCCTTCCACCTGAGACAGAATCAAAGGGGCTTGGAACTTGGGCTCTGTCACCGGCACTGTTCAAGGTCCGAGGACAGCTCCTGTCCAGTGACTCAGACCTGGCACCCAAGGAAGAGGAAAATCCGACTCAGCCCGCACTCAGTGGTCCTTGTGCTTGTGGCCGGCAGGGAGTTGAGCTGGGAAAGGCGCTCGACTGAGCAGTGCCCATGTTTGTGTAGGCCAGAGGCAGTGTCGACATACTCTCTCGAGCAGTCCTGGGCATGCTGACTGCTGCTTTTTGTGGGATGGATTTGGTGCCCAGTGCCTTGCTTTCCAGCGTAATGATGGCATTTCTCAGTCACAGGTGGATGTTCCAGTGAATCCAGCTGCCCAGACAGTCCCCGGCTCCCCCAGTATTCCAGGGACCCCTATTTTGAAGATATGTGGCATTACATCTGAAGATAAACAGGCAGCTCTTTTCCGACCAACTGAGTGAGTTGGCTTCTCTTTGCTGCTGCTCTTTCCTTGCTACCAAGCTGGGGACAGCAGACTTTCCCCATGCCTGTGCAGGGGGACTTGGCAGGCTCCAGGCTGCCGGGTGGCTGGAGGGTTCAGTCTGCTGACTTCGGTACATCCCACAGTGACTTGGTTAAATATCCCACCATCCTGACCAACTGTTGCTTCTTCTGCAGAGTGTACTGGGACCTGGACATCCAAACCAATGCGGTGATAAAGCAGAGGGCTCCGTCCAAAGTGCTGCCTCTGCACCCCGAGGTGGAGCTGCTTCGATCTCAGCTTATACTGAAGCTGCGGCAGCATTACCGGGAGCTCTGCCAGCAACGAGAGGGTAAATTCCTGTGTCTGTTCCCCCCCGCCCCCCCACTGCACACACGCACAGGCTGCTGTGCCTTGCTCTCTCTCCTTCCTTCCGTCTCCTCTTCTCTTCTTCCCTGTCCTTTGCCTGCCTCGTGTGGCTCTCCTGGGCTCCCTTGGACGTGATCCGAGATTGCATGCTGATCCAAGCATCTGGCTGCAGCCTCGTGCTAATAGTAAGGGGCACTAAGCAGGCCTTTTCTGTTCCTCTAGGGATTGACCCTCCACGGGAATCCTTTAACCGCTGGATGTTGGAGCGGAAGGTAGTGGATAAAGGAACAGACCCTCTGCTACCAAGCAACTGCGAGCCAGTAGTGTCTCCTTCCATGTTCAGAGAAATCATGAATGACATTCCCATCAGGTACTGCTCTGGGCTTCCTGGCCTTGGGGCACTCTAGGGCTTTCCTCGAGGATTCTTCGCTGCTGGGTGTCACTTCCCCAGTGCAGTGTCAGCAGCTCGTGCGAAGGGTGGGCTGAGAGCTGATGCACCTGCATGCTGCCATAGCCGGGAAGCGGGCCGTGACGTGTGTGTTTGTATTTGTTGCAGATTATCCCGAATCAAGTTCCGTGAGGAAGCCAAGCGACTGCTATTCAAATACGCCGAGGCTGCGAAACGGCTCATTGAATCCAGGTTGGGGTTGTCTCTTGCAGCTGGTTATCTACTGCTTAGGGCAGAGAATATTCCAAGGCCTTTCCAGAAATGGCTGTTGCAGCCCCACCTTGAATTCTTCCAAGTATTCTCAGAACAAAGCAGGAGTAAAGACCCCCGAGAGAGGCAGTGAAAATGGCCGGCGGCATCTTATGTCGGCAGGGATGAGTAGGATGAGAGTTTGGAAAGATGTATGCTGTTGAGATTGGAGAGAAGAGGAGACGGTGTCTGAGAGATGCCTGGCCCAGAGAAGGCCAAGTGGGTATCCTGTGTGATGCTACAAGGACAGTAGGCACCAATGGTGGGAACAAGCAACCAATTTCCAGTGGCTAAGGGGCAACACTAGGCAGCGTGTGAATGCTCTGAGCAGCTCGCCGTCGCAGGGTAGCACTGACACACACAGGTCCGTGATGTTTGCTAGGAGTTTGGTGAATGAGGGCCATTATCTGTAGGGTGCGAGTTAAGTTAAAATGACACGAGCTGAAGAGCCTTCAGGGCCAGGAAGAAAGAATGAACTCCTGCCTTGCTGCTTTTCGTGGCTCTGGCATTGGTGTCTGGGGCAAGGCAGAGCCCAGCCCCAAGGAGTAAACGTTGAAGCCCTACACAGATGGTCCTGTCCGGGCTCCGAGCTAGGCTGCAGTTTCCATTGATGCAGTTTTTCGTTGTGTGGGAGAGGATTTAATGCCGTCCTTGGAAGCGTTCAGTAGTGGGCACCTTTGGAGGTGAGAGGCCCACTGGTCAGTTAGGGAATTCCTGTCCTGCTGGGGAGAGGAGCGCAGGCATGTACGTTATGTGTCAGCAGCATGGAGAGCCATGTGCGTTGTGATGGCATGGCAGGTCCTGATCAGGCAGGCGTCGGGGACACTGCCTGCGGGGCGCCCGTCTGACAGTGATGGGACGCTGTGCTGGGGAAGACGTGTCTGCCATGTGACCCAGCGTTGGGAAGGGACACGTCACCGCAGCTGTGGGTTAAATTCCTGTTTCTGCATTGTGTGCAGGAGTGCGTCGCCAGACAGTAGGAAAGTGGTGAAATGGAATGTGGAGGACACCTTCAGCTGGCTGCGACGGGACCATTCAGCCTCCAAGGAGGACTACATGGTCAGTATCCCTTTGGAGCAGGACTACGTGGGCAGCTCCCTTTGCCTACACCTGAAGCAAGGGAAGGTGGGGGCTGTGGAGGGCGGGGAAAGCTCCTCCGTCTCTGGCTGACGTCTCGCCCACAGCTGCTTAGTGAGAGGAAGGGCCCAAGGGGGAGTGTCAGCTGATGGAGAGTTGGTGACAGGGTGTGAGGGCCTCTCTCTGCCGCTGCAGGACCGCCTAGAGCACTTACGGAAGCAGTGTGGGCCCCACGTGTCTGCTGCAGCCAAGGACTCGGTCGAAGGCATCTGCAGTAAGATATACCACATATCGCTCGAGTACGTCAAGCGGATCCGGGAAAAGCATCTTGCCGTCCTCAAGGAGCACAATATATCCGGTAGGCAGCAAGCCTGGCGAGCCCCAGGGCAGTGCAGCACATGCCAACAGCGCCAGTGGCAGGGCAGCTGGGGATGGAAGATGGAGTGTCTGCTCTGTAACCCGGTCCCCCTGCGCTGTGATGTCATTCCCACTGACTCACCCACATGTGGATTGGCCCAGACACCTAGTCCCAGCCTGAGCAGATAAGGTGCTTCCCAGAGGGACAGACAAGGGAGGTGGAGACGGCCACCTGGCTGGGGGGCAGGGTCTGGGAGCTGGACAGTTTCTGGCTGGGAAACATGAAGGGAACAGACTAAGCTGAGGGCTGAGACAGGTGATGGATCCCCTACCCGAAGGGATCTCAGGCTGCCTGGCCCTGACTCCTTTAATCGCATCACGTCTGTGCTGTGCTGTACCCTGGAGAAGCAATAAACCCCCCCGTTCTACTGGCTGGGGGAGTCTGTTCTGGCTGCTACAGGGGTGCAGGATCGGGGGGAACCCGACGCGCCGTCACAGAGCTGAGGGCTGAGACAGGTGATGGATCCCCTACCCGAAGGGATCTCAGGCTGCCTGGCCCTGACTCCTTTAATCGCATCACGTCTGTGCTGTGCTGTACCCTGGAGAAGCAATAAACCCCCCCGTTCTACTGGCTGGGGGAGTCTGTTCTGGCTGCTACAGGGGTGCAGGATCGGGGGGAACCCGACGCGCCGTCACAGA